CATGGCTGCCTTCCCAGACACACAATAGGTTTCCAGTGGCTTTATGGTGTGGAGCGTGGGGGTTCAGAAGAGGGCTCTGAAAGAATGTTCTGGAAGGGGTTGGGTGTGTTGGGGTGAGGAAGAAGGGGACAGGATAGAGAAGGTCTAGGTGGTAGGAAGGGCTTCCAAAAGGGAGAGGAGAAGGCACTTAAGATGCCTCCAGCTGCTGGGGTTTTGCTGTGCACGTCCAGCCCCCGCATCTGGGCTTATCTCCAGCCTCGCCCCTTTCCGGTGGTGGGTGTGACACGTCAGCCGGCCAAGGAAATCCTTGGAAAGAAAAGACGGCACAACCGTCAAAGATGGCTACTTTTCCACCTCATGAGTTGACCTGTGCCTCTAGAGTTCCTGCTACGTCCTCCCCCGTGACCGCGGAGAGGGCTGGGGCTGTCTGCCGGGACTTTAAGCTTGAGCTGGCCCCTAGTGACTCCAAGTCTGTCGACGTCACCACAGAGAGTTATTCTCCTCAGAGTCGTTCGCCATCTCCAGTTCTCTTCAGTCTTGTGTCCACCCGTCTTCAGCGATTTGTGATGAAGGGGTTTATTGTTTCACCGTGGCCTACGCTTAACCACCTGCCTCCCAGTTTTCCTGTTGCATTCAGAAACTATTTTATTTTTTTTTTACAAAGGAGCACTCCTTCCTCCAATCCAACCTCAAAACAAATATGGTTTTGGCCTAACGAGCCTGCCTCTCTTAGGTAACGGCTGCCCTCCCGTACCAGTCGCTGTCACTTCCTTCACGTGTTTCCTCGCTTAGTTCCTCTTTACTTCTCTGCCCTTCCCATCTGTGGGAATGAGGGTGGGCAGGACTCCTTTCACCGGGCCCTGCTTATCTGATGGTGTCCCAGAACTGACTGGCGAAAGATTCTGATCTCATGTGGAGAGTCCCCTTCAAAATCTCCACCAGCATCTAAGTTTTTGCTGCAAGACAAAGACTGGTTTCCTGTCTATGGTCCTTATCGATGTCTTCTCTTTCTGGAGTGAGTTTGGTGTGCTTTGCTTTAGATTTGCCAGTTCCAACACATACTCTGTGCTAGAGATCCTGAGGGAGACAAAACTGAAAGGACCTCACCCCACTGCAAGAGGAGATTTCAACTTGATCGAATTTTCTTTCTTTCTCACGAAATATCCCGAGTATAAGCAGACTAGCAGCCCTCAGTGTCCGGGAATCCAGGATCCTTCTGTCTTATTGCTTTGCTCTCTTTGCATGATCTAAGATACCTCTTGGTTGTTTCTTGAGCCAGGCAGTGGGATGCCATTTAAGGGCCTCGTGGGGAAGTCGCATAGTTCACTTCAGTCATATCTCACTTGCTGTTAGTCACGTGGCCATATGTAGTGAAGCTAGGAGATGTAGTTTTTTTCCTTGAGTTTCTATGAACTCAATTCTTCATTGATTATTGGAAGATTAAAAAAATAAAAGTGTTTCATGCTGTGTGAGAAGGCTGTGCATTTTCTAATTACTGGGTACAGAATTCTGTTTGTGGTTATTAGGTCAAGCTTGTTAATTGTGTTGTTGATTTTTGTCTGCCCAACTTTTAAATAATTGAGACCTATCAATAGTTGAAATCTCCCTCCATGATGCAGTGGATTTGCCAATTTTCCCTTGAATTTCTAGTCTTTCTCTTTATATTTTGAAGCTAGTTAATTAGATGCAATCATATTTTGAATTGCTGTGTCTTCTTAGAGAACTCTTTCATCACTACTGAGTGATCCTCAAGTCCTAATTATGCCTTTTTCTCTTGAAGTATGTTTTGTCTAATGTATGTCTGCTACCTTTTAAAAATTCTTTAATTTTTAACTTTTTCATGTTTTAATGATTTAGATATATCTCACAAATAGTACATATGTGATTTTTGTTTTTAAAGATCTAAAAATTTATGCTTTTTAATTGGAAAATTTAGACTATTTATATTTATTTAATTTTTTGATATGTCTTCTTCACTTTAAGTTCAGTAAAAAGATTAAAAATAAAAGATTTCTGCTTCTGTTATTTAGACATTTTCATATCTGTATCTTTTATATAGCTTAAACATGCTTTCATATTCTTTGAACATTTTCCCCATGTTAATATCCACAACAACAAAAATTCCAAGATGTGTGATCCCTTTTCTTTCATGTAATTCTTGCAATTTCTTCTGGATGTGTTTTTCCTGTGTATGACATCTTCAAAAAGTTTTAATGTGACTCTTAGCATGGCCGATTTCCTCAAGCCTGTATGTTGGATAATATTTTTATTACATTCTTATATTTGAATGACAGCCTTGACGGGAATGGAATTCTAGTTCAAAGCATCTTTTCCAATGCTTTAAAACTGATACTCTATTATCTTTTCTCATTTAACATTGTGGTTAAAAAATGTGATGTCCATTTTATTCTTTTTCATTTGCAGTTGATGTGCTCTTTTGGAGAGTTTTCAGATTTTTTTTCTTTGAGTGTGGTTTTCTTAAATTTCATTCTAGTGTGTGTAAGTGTTGGATTTTCCTTATCTCTCCTTTTGGAATTCTATACACCCTTTCAGTTTGAAGTTATTTATCTTCTTTAATTCTGAGGACTTTATCTCCACTGATTCTTCAAATATTTTCTTCTCTCCATTTCTATTTTATTTTTTTCTTCTATTCCATGACTCCTATTTTCTGGATACTGGTGCTTCTACAATTTTCTTAACTATCCTTTTATATTTTCTATTTCTGAATCTTCCCCTATTTTCTTTCTGGAGACATCTCATCTGATATTCCAACTCACTAATTCATTCTCCAGCTGTATCCATTTAAACATGTAGAAGACTTACTGTTATTTATTCCCATTATTTAATTTTCATACCTTATATTTCCCCCTATTTTTGTTTTTTATTGCTTTGTTCTCATGAAGAAGAAAAGAAAATGGGGAAGTCCAAGAGAAAGCCCCAAATAGGACACTCATATTTGGTATAATCCACCAAGCAATTCTTGAGCCCCAGTCTTCCCCTTCAGATTCTGAGGTAGAGGCAGCCCTGGAAGGAGGAACTCAGAGATGATCATCCCAGCCCTGGGTTGGGAGAGCAGGGAATGCAGAGTCTACTCAGCTCTCACTTGTGTTCAGAAACGCTTCACAGGAACCAGACTTCTGAGCTGGGTTTTTTTTTTTTTTTGCTCCAATTTTGCTCCTAGACCAGCAGTCTGGGCTATTACTATTAATTTCTGAAGGGGGAGAGCAGCTATTGATTGCTCCAAGGGCAATTATAGGAAAGAGCAGAACTCAAACTGCTTTTCCTACTTTATCCTCCTAGAATGACACTGGCTGCTGTCCCTGGTTTTTCTTTTGTTTCCTAGATTTGGGGTTTCCTATCTCCATTCAGTTGACTCTAGATGAGACAGGTAATGGTTTGTGTGACTTCTCCGTTGTGGCAGGAATGGGAACCTCAGGAGGATACTCTTCAACCATGCTCTATTGGTCAGGCCAGAGAAAGGTTATATACACTATCCTTATTATGTATTTAATTATATACATATATATGTACATACAATTATATACATATTAAAGAAGTATAAGATTTATGTAAGTTAAAGTATAAACATGCCACTCAACATTATTGCCTGTGAAATCCCAATGAATAGAGGAGCCTGACAGGCTACAGTCCATGGGGGTCACAAAGAGTTAGAAATGATTGACTAACACACTATTTTATAGGATACATGTATATATCTTATGTAGTATAAGATTTATCTAAATCTTATATGATTTATATGAGTATATATTTATATTTATTGTAAGGAACTTTTAAAAGATTCATTATAAAGACTTGGCTCATGTGATTATGAAGGCTGGGAAGTGCAAAATCTTCAGGGTGAATTGGTAAGCTGAAAATCCAGGGGACCATGGAGAGCAAGTGTCACAGTCTGATCCCTGCAGATAGGGAGGGCTTCACAGCCTCACCAAAGTGAGCTCCACCCAGGATGTGTCTTAGTATCTAATCAGGAAATAAGGCCATGCCCTTTGTGGCTTCCAGCATCTTATGAATTCCCCACATCAAAGAAAGACAAAGGTGTCTTTCTCACATGGAAGCGACTGTACTGTTCCTATGGAAAGATTGACTCTCTACCCCATGATGAGGGTATCAGCTCAGGGTGTCAGTTGTTGTTGTGGTTCAGTCGCTCAGTCGTGTTGACTCTTTGCGACCCTATGGACTGCAGCACGCCAGGTTTCCCTGTCCTTCACCAACTCCCGACTTTGCTCAAACTCATGTCCATCAAGTCGGTGATGCCATCCAACCATCTCATCCTCTGTCATCCCCTTCTCCTCCTCCCTTCAATCTTTCCCAGCATCACGGTCTTTTCCAATGCGTCAGCTCTTCCCATCAGGTGGGCAAAGTACTGGAGTTTCAGCTTCAGCCTCAGTCTTTTTGATGAATATTCAGGGTTGATTTCCTTTAAGATTGACTGGCTTGATCTTTTTGCTGTCCAAGGGACTCTCAAGAGTCTTCTCTAGCACCACAGTTCAAAGGCATCAGTTCTTTGGTGCTCAGCTTTCATTATAGTCCAACTCTCACATTCACACATGACTACTGGAAAAACCATAGCTTTGACTATACGGGCCTTTGTTGACAAAGTAATGTGTCTGCTTTTTAATATGCCATCTAGGTTTGTCATTGCTTTTCTTCCAAGAAGCAAGCGTCTTTTAATTTCATGGCTGCAGTCATCACCCACAGTGATTTTGGAGCCCAAGAAAATAAATTTATCACTGTTTCCATCAGGCTCTAGAAGACACTAATTGTGCCTTCCATGGAGATGGAGAGAATGAGAATGATTATTTGATAGCAGACTAATGTCATGCAGAAACGGAGACATTCATGCCAGTAGGGGTTGAACTCATGCTGTGTTCTCCCTGCCGTCTCAGGCTTGGCCCCACCCCTGTTTTCCTTCTGGCCCCTTCCATCGCCCATCCCCAGAGGCAGCTGGGGTGGATCTCAGGAAGACTGACTGAGCTTACATTGTTCCCCTGCTTGGTGCCTTCCAATGACTTCGCTTGCTGCTTATAGTGGAATCCATGCTTGTCATCATGGGGCCCCCAGTGAGCCCCCAACATCATTCTCTACCGTTTCCTCCATTGCTCACCCCACTCTGGCCACGTTGGCCTCTCACGGGGCTCCAAGCTCACTCCTGCCTTGGCTGTTCTTTCTGTGCAACACACTCCTCCCCAGATCTTCATGTGGCTGTCTGTCCCTAGTCGTTCATTCCACAGCCCGAGTGTCACCTTCTCTGAAAACCTTTCTCAGACCCCTGTTGTAAGTGGTCTTTCCCAGTCCCGCATGGTCCTATGCCCCATTACCCTGTTTTGTGCTCTTCATTGGCTGAATAACCATTTTAACAGTGATTATAACAGTGATATTATTGATTTGTTTTCTTATTTTTTGTCTGCCCTCCCCCACTAGATTATAACCTTCACAAGAGACTCTGGTTTAATCACCTCGGTCTCTCTACTGCCTGCAACTTGGTCCTTCAGGAAAAACAGGTACTCAGATATTGGTGGAATTAATCACAGCTCTTTCAGTGCGCTTTGCTCGGTTTGCTCATTTAACAAAACTTTTAAAAAATTATTATTTCAACCACAATGTGAACATGACTTTGGACGTTTTCCAGAAAAACTAGTTCATGGAGAAGCATTACAAAAATAAGACTCATTTGACAGAAATAGTATGGGATTCAGTTGGATCCCAGTTTGCATTTGTAGGGGCGCATGTGAGGTCCTGAGCTATGGAATGCTTGCCTGTGTGACTTAAGGAGCTCACACCAAGTTCAGAATAAGCCTTTGCTTGTTTGTTTGTACCCTCTTTCTCTAAGCTCCTCTCTCATGCCCCATGGCAAGCTGGCAAGAAGCAGCTGATGAAGGCATGGGGCAGGCAGGGTCAGTCCTGGATCTCTGCCACCTTCTGACATCCTAACACCTCGGGGAAGATAGCAGCTCTCAGCACCTGGTCCAGGGTCTCCGTGAAACCCTGGCACAGTCACCCCAAATGCCAGGTTGCTGCGCAGGCAGGCAAGGGACCTTCAGTGGAGGGGGCTGGTGCTGACAGAGGCAGAGAAGTGAGCCAGGGGCCAGCTGGAGATTGTGCCGGAGGCTGCTGGGAGCAGACTTGTGTCTCCACCAAGGTTTCAAGCCACCCTCTGACAGTGCTTGTCAGGGGTTTTACCACCCTCCGGAATGTGTGTGACTCAGCCCAGCTCAGCTGGCAGTGTGGAGGGTCAGTGAGCTGTTTCCCTTGTGCTGTGCCTGACCAGGCTCACGGGTGGTCCCTGGGCTCCTCCAGGTGGTCCTGGGTGGGTAGAGATTGGCATCCAAATCACAAGTCAGACTTAATCTCCTTTCTTTTAAAATAAAAAAAAAATCTATTGAAGCATATTTACAATGTTGTGTTAGTTTCAGGTGTTCAGCAAAGTGATTCAGTTATCCATACACATACATCAATTAGCTTCCAGACTTTTCCCGTATATGTTGTTACAGGGAATTAAGTAGAGTTCCCTGTGCTATACAGTAGGTTCCTGTTGGTTACCTGTTTTATATTTAGTAGTGTGTATATGTTAATCTCAACCTTCTAATTTATCCCTCCCTCCCAACCTTTCCTCTTTGGTAATCCTAAATTTGTTTTCAAAATCTGTGAGTCTGTTTCTGTTTTGTAAATCAGTTCATTTGTATAATTTTTTTAAATTCCACATATATATGATATATGTCTTTTCCATTTAGTATGGTAGTCGTTAGATCTATCCATGTCGCTGCAAGTGGTATTATTTCATTCCTTTTTATGGCTGAGTACTATTCCATTGTAAATATGTGCCACATCTTCTTTATCCATTCCTCTGTCAACGGACATGCAGGTTGCTTCCACATCCTGGCTGTTGTTAATAGTGCTGCAGTGAACATTGGGTGCAGTCATTTTTTGAGGTACAGTTTTCTTTGGGTATATACCCAGGAGTGGGATTGCTGAGTCATATGGTAGTTCTTTCTATTTTTAGTTTTTTAAGGAACTTTGAATCTACTTTCAAGGTGTATTTTCCACTAGAGATGTAAATTCCCATTTAAAAGTACAAAGTTAGAATTAAAACAGAGCCACGTGAAGCCCAGAAAGAAAAAAAAAATCCCCATGTTTTGTGTGTTGGGAAATAAAGGGACATCAATGGGTGAACAAAGTCAATTCAGGACCTTAGCACGTAGGTGGTTTTTGTGGTTGGGGCTCCACCAAAATTCCCAGAGATGGGGTGATTTGGGTGATGTCTATGAGTGGTCTGGTGTGGATGACTCTTTTGGTTCAGTTGGATTTAATTTAGGTATATGATCCATGTCCCTGCTTCATGCCAGGCACTGTGGACAGAGTCTATCAGTTCCTGCCCTCTTGGACCCTATGTTTAGGTCGGGGATGCAAACAGACATCCCTTCCACAGAAGTGTGATGACAGAGGGAGGTGGCTGCCTCTTTCTCAACCAGACCTGGGGATTTAAAATCCCAAGAGTCAGTTCAAGTTCCTAACTCACTAACCTCTAGCTCTTTGAGTTTGGGCCAATTATTTAATATTTTTAAGGCTTTAGTTTTCTCAGTTGTAATATGAGGAAATGACATCTTCCTTGTTCATGTCATGGGTTGTTATGAGGATCTGATGAGATCATTTATCTGAAAGCCCTTTTGAACTCGTAAGGAGAAATATAAATTGTTACTGGGATCACCAAGAATTCAGTTTTGGAGTTTTCAGTGATAATCTTTTGCTGTTGACTGCTGTGTTGTGATGCTCCCTGTTAGCAATGGGATGTGAAAAGCTGAAAAAGGTATAGAGATGCCCTGTCCATAATGAGAGCCACATCTGACTGCACAGCACCTGAAATAGACCTAGTCTGAACTGAGACGCACACGAGGATGTGAACTGTTGTAAAAAAAAAAGGAGAGAGAGAGAAATAAGTAAAATCTCACTAACAATTTTTTTTTTGTATTGGTGACATGTTCAAATGATAATACATTGGATTATTGGGTTAAAGAAAACTTATTAGAGTTGATTGAATTACTTATTTGACATGGTTACTAGAAAACTTTAAACTACCTGTTTGGCTCACATTAGGTTACCCTGGTGGCTCAGATGGTAAAGAATCAGCCTGCAATGCAGGAGACTTGGGTTCGATCCCTGGGTTGGGAAGATCCCCTGGAGGAGGGCATGGCTACCCATTCCAATTTTCTCGCCTGGAGAATCCCACGGACAGAGGAGCGTGGCGTGCTGCAGTCCATGGGGTCACAAAGATTGGGCAGCTAACACACATACACACAGGGCTCACATTATATTTTCACTGGAAGTACAGCTGTAGAGTTTCTTTTTGGAAATTTCATTCTTAAGTCACAGTACACATAAACATTCACATAATTTCAGAGATGAAGTAGCCTTAAAGCCTCAGCTATGTAACTCTACAATGACGGTTTTAAAAGTTGTTTTCCATTTACACTCAACATACACACAAAGAATGTTCCTGTGAATGTTAGATCAGTTTTAGTGAGAAGCATTACCGTGCTCCTCCAGGCAGGAAAGGGTTTCTTCATCATCGTCATCAAAGGGGCTGAATGGAAAGCCCCCCTGGTCACTGTGTGCAGTGCACTTGAATCTAGACGGGCAGGTCTCTGCAGAGACACGACTGAAGCATCACTACAGCTGTGTGGTTGGAACGAAGACACCCTAATGCATCAGCAAGGAAGAGATTTTCCAAGGACCCCATGAACAACCACAGTTTCCTCCCACCCTCGAATCTTTTCCCCCTCTCATGGAAAAAAGACAAAACAAAAAGAAAGACACAGCCTTTCGGTCCTTTTTTTAATTCCCTAGCTCACTGAATTCATTCCCCAATCCTTTGAAGGATTACCCGCACTGATTTTATCAGTTGAGTCAAGATGGCTCAGAACAGCTCAGAAATTGGCCGACAGTCACGTGGGTTGGAGGGCTGGGATGCAAATGCTTTCTAGGGTTGGTCTCTTTTTGCCACTCAGCTGCTGTCAGAAGAAGAAGCAGGAAAGTAGAAGGACTCGGGGAGAGGCAGACACTGGCCACGCCTGCTCCCTTTCTTTTATTCTGAGAAGGAAGCCTGGGTGTTCCTACCACGAACCAGGTGCAGGGGATTTCCTGTGGTTCTTGGAGTGCCATCTTTTATTTTTTGTTCATTTTGTTTTGTTGTTTGCTTTTGTTTTTTTGTTCATTTTTTATTGAAATATAGTTGATGGTGCAGACGGTTAAGAATCTGCCTGCAGTGCTGGAGACCCAGGTTCAATCCCTGGGTCAGGAAGATCCCCTGGAGAAGGGCATGGCAAAATCCACTCCAGCATTCTTGTCTGGAGAATCCCATGGACAGAGGAGCCTGGTGGGCTACAGTCCAGGGGGTTGCACAGGGTTGGAAATGGCTGAGCAACTTGCACTTTCACTTTCATAGTTGATTTACAATGTTGTGTTCATCTCTGCTGTACAGTAAAGTGATTCAGTTATGCACATATATATATATATATGCATTCTTTTTTAAGTGTTCTTTTCCATTATGGTTTCTCATAGGATGCTGAGTATAGTTCTCTGTGCTATATAGGGAAACCATTTTTTCATGGATTCTTTCAGAGGAAAACTGTTATATGCTTAACAGCAAAAATAAAGCCTCAAACCAGCAAGCAAAAAACCCAGTCTATAGAATTTACCCAGCTTGGGTTAGCTGTGATTCCTTGTCTAGAGGAGCCACAGAAACAAGCCGTGTCCCTCCACGGAAGATGGGCTTGGAACGCCATCTATCCTTACACATGACACTGCTGAGGGCTTCTGGGTTGACTGTGAAACAGTGAAATGCTGGTGTCAGTCACCCTCTGGAGGAGTTTGCTGGCCTGGTCTGCGAGCAGACCCAGCAGATCCCTGCCCAAGTTCCACGAGTGGGATGACCAGTGGCGATATAAAGGGCAAGCGGACAAGTGAGTCTTTCTTTCTGAGAATGTTTTCACCGCAGTTAGATTAGAAAATGATCCAGGGAAGATATAAACTAGCCCTTTCATTTAGCAAAATAAAATGCCTATCCCCTAGGTAATCTGTA